GTGGGGTGGGGTGGGTTGAGTTGGGTTGGGTTGGGTTGGGTGAGCATGGGATGGGTTGGGATGAGTTGCATTGAGTTGGGTTGGGTTGGGATGGGTTGAGTTGGATGGGTTGGGTTGGGTTGGATGAGTTGGGTTGGGTGAGCATGGAATTGGTCGGGATGTGTTGCATTGAGTTGGGTTGGATGGGTTGGGTCGGGTTGGGTTGGGTGAGGATGAGATGAGTTGGAAGGAGTTGGATGGGGTAGGGTTGAGTTGGTTTGGTTTGGTTTGGGTGAAGATGGGATGGGTTGGGTTGGGTTGGGTTGAGTTGGGTTGGGTTGAGATGAATTGGGTTGGGTGAAGATGGGTCGGGTTGCGTTGCATGAGGATGGGATGGGTTAGGATGAGTTGGGTTAGTTTGGATGAGTTGGGTTGGGTGAGGATGGGATGGGTTGGGATGAATTGGGTTGGGTTGGAAGAGGATGAGTTGTATTGGATGGGTTGGGTTGGGTGAGGATGGGATGGGTTGGTTGGGTTGGGTTGAGTTGGTTTGGTTTGGGTTGGGTGAGGATGGGATGCGTTGGGTTGGGTTGGGATTGGTGTGGGATGGATGCGTTGGGTTGGCTTGCGTTGCGTTGGGTTGGGCTAGACATGGATGAGTTGGGTTGGGATTGATGGGATGGGATGAGTTGGATTGGGTTAGGTTGGTTGAGTTGGTTTGGTTTGGGTTGGGTGAGGATGGAATGGGTTGGGTTGGGATTGGTGGTACGGGATGGATGCATTGGGTTGGGTTGGCTTGGGCTACACATGGATGAGTTGGGTTGGGATTGATGGGATGGGATGAGTTGGGTTGGGTTGAGATTGGTGGGATGGGATGGATGCGTTGGGTTTTGTTGGATTGGGTTGGGTTGGGTTGAGATGAGATGGATGCGTTTTGTTTGGTTGGGCTGAGCTGGCTTGGATTGGGTTGTATTGGGTTGTGTTGGGTTGGGATGAGTTGGGTTGAGTTGGGTTGGGTTGGATTGGGTTGGGTTGAGTTGGGTTGGGTTGGGTTGTGTTGGGTTGGGTTGGGATGAGATGGATGCGTTTAGTTTGGTTGGGCTGGGCTGGCTTGGATTGGGTTGTATTGGGTTGCAAGACAGTAGACATGGACAACACAACTCAGGAGAGTGCCAGAAGATCCAACATGGTTGCCTTGGTCATTTTGGGGTCACGGGTGCCACCGAGCCCCTTGGGGTCGGAGGTGCCACCAAACCCTTCCCCGCAGTCGTTCCTGATCGACCTGGGCGTGGCCGAGCTCGACCGCTTCGACGAGCACGAGGCCCTGATCTTCCGCGAGAACACCTTGGCCACCAAGGCCATCGACGAGTACATGAAGCTGGTGGGGGCCAAGTACCTGCAGGACACGCTGGGTACGCGCAGGGGACACGGGGGACATCCCGGGGGGTGGCAGGGGGCAGGACACCTCGGGTGGGACCGGACACCGGGGGTTGTGGGACACCCCTGACCACCCATGGGGATGTGGTGGTGACACCTCGGTCCCCTGGTGGGTTGTGGGACACCCCTGACCACCCATGGGGATGTGGCGACATGGTGGTGACTCCTTGGTCCCCTCATGGTCTGTGGGACACCCCTGACCATCCATGGGGACATGGTGGTGACACCTCGGTCCCCTCATGGGCTGTTCCCTGTCCTTAGGGGTGGTTGTCGTGACTTCTCGGTCCCCTCACGGGCTGTGGGACACCCTGACCACCCATGGCGACATGGTGGTGACACCTCGGTCCCCTCATGGTCTGTCCCTTGTCCCCAGGGGTGGTTGTGGTGACTTCTTGGTCCCCTCACTGGCTGTGGGACACCCCTGACCACCCATGGGGATGTGGTGTGGGTTCCTCTTGTCCATCCCCACCCTGGTGACACCTCGGTCCCCTCATGGTCTGTCCCTTGTCCCCAGGGGTGGTTGTGGTGACTTCCTGGTCCCCTCATGGGTTGTGGGACAACCCTGACCACCCGTGGGGACATGGTGTAGGTTCCTCTTGTCCATTCCTACCCTGGTGACACCTCGGTCCCCTCATGGGCTGTCCCCTGTCCCCAGGGGAGGTGGTGTGGGTTCCTCTTGTCCATCCCCACCCTGGTGACACCTCGGTCCCCTCATGGGCTGTCCCCTGTCCCCAGGGGAGGTGGTGGCCCAGCTCTGCAGCTCCGAGGAGAGCTCCGAGGTGGATCCCAGCAGGTGCTCGGGGCTGGAGCTGCCGGAGCACCAGCAGCACCTGCGGCAGGTCTGCGAGGAGACCCTGCGGCGCATCACCGACGGCTCCGAGTGAGGGACAGCCGGGGACACCGGGGGGACACCGGCACCAGGGACAGGAGAAGCTGGGAGAAGCTGGGACACGGGGGTGGCACCAGGAACAGGAGAAGCTGGGACATGGGGGTGGGATCAGGGACAGGAGAACCTGGGAGAAGCTGGGACACGGGGGTGGGAGCAGGGACAGGAGAACCTGGGAGAAGTTGGGACACGGGGGTGGCGCCAGGAACAGGAGAAGCTGCGACATGGGGGTGGGATCAGGGACAGGAGAACCTGGGAGAAGCTGGGACACGGGGGTGGCACCAGGGACAGGAGAACCTGGAAGAAGCTGGGACACGGGGGTGGCACCAGGGCCAGGAGAAGCTGGGACACGGGGGTGGCACCAGGGCCAGGAGAAGCTGGGACACGGGGTGGCACCAGGGACAGGATGGGCGCTGGCACCAGGATGGGCGCCAGGGGTTCAGTTGGGGACTGTCACCATCCTGGGGTGGGTGCCAGGGTGGATCTGGGGACAAATTTGGGGACAAAGATGGGGACATCCTATGGTAGACATGGTGGTGGGCACCAAGATGGACCTGGAAACAAGTTTGGGGACAGGAGAGGGGGATAGGGATGGGGATGGACACCAGGATGGACCTGGGGACAAGTTTGGGGACAGGGATGGGAACAGGGATGGGGATGGACACCAGGATGGACCTGGGGACAAGTTTGGGGACAGGGATGGGAATAGGGATAGAGATGGACACAAGGATGGACTTGGGGACAAGTCTGGGGACAAGTTTGGGGACAGGAATGGAGATGGACAGCAGCATGGACCTGGCAGAAGTTTGGGGACAGGGACGGGAACAGAGATGGACACCAGGATGGACTTGGGGACAATTTTAGGGACAGGAGTGGGGGACAGGGATGGAGATGGACACCAGGATGGACCTGGGGACAATTTTGGGGACAAGTTTAGGGACAAGTTTGGGGACAGGGATGGAGATGGACACCAGGATGGACCTGGGGACAAGTTTGGGGACAGGGATGGGGATGGACACCAGGATAGACCTGGGGACAAGTTTGGGGACAGGGATGGGGATGGACACCAGGATGAACCCAAGAACAAGCCTGGGGACACAGATGATGATGGTCACCACCCCTGAGCTGCACATGGCCACAAAACCCACTCGACGCCCACCCACCCATGGTGCCACCACGGCCCCCATCACCCCGTGGTGGCACCGGCAGGTCCCCTGTCCCCAGCACGGTGTCCCTGGGCAGGTCGTTCCCGGCGGAGCTGGGCGAGGTGTTCGCGGCGTGGCGCGAGGCGTGCGCGGCGCGCGGCAAGGCGGCCATCGGCCAGCGCCTGGTGTCGGCCTCGCTCTTCCTGAGGTTCCTCTGCCCGGCCATCATGTCCCCGAGCCTCTTCGGCCTCGTCCAGGAGTACCCCGGCGAGGCCACCGCCCGCACCCTCACGCTGGTGGCCAAGGTCATCCAGAACCTGGCCAACTTCACCACGTAGGTGGCCGTGGGGACGTGGGGCGGTGGGGACATCCCGTCTGTGCTCTGCGGAGGGTCCTGGGGCAGTTGGGTTGTCCCCAAGTTTTGATTATCCCCGAATTTGGGTTGTCCCCAAGTTTGGATTGTCCCCAAATTTAGGTTGTCCCCCGTGCATCATAGGACAGTTGGGTTGTCCCCAGGTATGGGTTGTCCCCAAGTTTGGGTTGTCCCCAGATTTGGATTGTCCCTGAGTTTGGGTTGTCCCCAAGTTTGGATTGTCCCCAAATTTAGGTTGTCCCCAAGTTTGGGTTGTCCCCAAGGTACCATGGGACAGTTGGGTTGTCCCCAAGTTTGGATTATCTCCAAGTTTGGGCTGTCCCCAAGTTTGGGTTGTCCCTAAGTTTGGGTTGTCCCCAATGCACCATGGGGCAGTTGCATTGTCCCCAAGTTTGGGTTGTCCCCAAGTTTGGGCTGTCCCTAAGTTTGGATTGTCCCCAGTGCATCATGGGACTGTTGGATTTTCCCGAAGTTTGGGTTGTCCCCAAGTTTGGATTGTCCCCGAATTTGGGTTGTCCCCAGGTTTAGGTTGTCCCCCGTGCATCATAGGACAGTTGGGTTGTCCCCAGGTATGGGTTGTCCCCAAGTTTGGGTTGTCCCCAGATTTGGATTGTCCCTGAGTTTGGGTTGTCCCCAAGTTTGGATTGTCCCCAAATTTAGGTTGTCCCCAAGTTTGGGTTGTCCCCAAGGTACCATGGGACAGTTGGGTTGTCCCCAAGTTTGGATTATCTCCAAGTTTGGGCTGTCCCCAAGTTTGGGTTGTCCCTAAGTTTAGGTTGTCCCCCGGGCATCATGGGACTGTTGGCTTGTCCCCAGGTTTGGGATGTCCCCAAATTTGAGTTGTCCCCAAGTTTAGGTTGTCCCCAGTGCACCACGGGGCGGTTGGGTTGTCCCCAAGTTGGGTTGTCCCCAAGGTACCACAGGGCCCTTGGGTTGTCCCCAACACGCCATGGGACAGTTGGGTTGGATGGTCCGTGCTCCTGAAAGTGGCCTGTGACCATGACCATGGTGGTGGCCCACGTGACCATGGTGGTGACCCCTTCCCTAAGTTTGGATTGTCCCCAGTGCATCATGGGACTGTTGGGTTGTCCCCAGGTTTGGGTTGTCCCCAAGTTTGGGTTGTCCCTAAGTTTGGGTTGTCCCCAAGTTTGGGTTGTCCCTAAGTTTGGGTTGTCCCCAAGTTTGGGTTGTCCCTAAGTTTGGATTGTCCCTAAGTTTGGATCGTCCCCAAGTTTGGATTATCTCCAAGTTTGGGTTGTCCCCAAGTTTAGGTTGTCCCCCGTGCACCATGGGGCGGTTGGGTTGTCCCCAAGGTACCACAGGGCCCTTGGGTTGTCCCCAAGTTTGGGCTGTCCCTAAGTTTGGGTTCTCCCCAATGCACCATGGGGCAGTTGCGTTGTCCCCAAGTTTGGGTTGTCCCTAAATTTGAGTTGTCCCCAAGTTTGGGTTGTCCCCAAGTTTGGGCTTTCCCTAAGTTTGGATTGTCCCCAGTGCATCATGGGACTGTTGGATTTTCCCGAAGTTTGGGTTGTCCCCAAGTTTGGGTTGTCCCCAAGTTACCATGGGACAGTTGGGTTGTCCCCAAGGTTGGATTATCTCTAAGTTTGGGCTGTCCCCAAGTTTGGGTTGTCCCTAAGTTTGGATTGTCCCCAGTGCATCATGGGACTGTTGGATTTTCCGGAAGTTTGGGTTGTCCCCAAGTTTGGGCTTTCCCTAAGTTTGGATTGTCCCCAGTGCATCATGGGACTGTTGGGTTGTCCCCAGGTTTGGGTTGTCCCCAAGTTTGGGTTGTCCCTAAGTTTGGGTTGTCCCCAAGTTTGGGTTGTCCCTAAGTTTGGATTGTCCCTAAGTTTGGATCGTCCCCAAGTTTGGATTATCTCCAAGTTTGGGTTGTCCCCAAGTTTAGGTTGTCCCCCGTGCATCATAGGACAGTTGGGTTGTCCCCAGGTATGGGTTGTCCCCAAGTTTGGGTTGTCCCCAGATTTGGATTGTCCCTGAGTTTGGGTTGTCCCCAAGTTTGGATTGTCCCCAAATTTAGGTTGTCCCCAAGTTTGGGTTGTCCCCAAGGTACCATGGGACAGTTGGGTTGTCCCCAAGTTTGGATTATCTCCAAGTTTGGGCTGTCCCCAAGTTTGGGTTGTCCCTAAGTTTAGGTTGTCCCCCGGGCATCATGGGACTGTTGGCTTGTCCCCAGGTTTGGGATGTCCCCAAATTTGAGTTGTCCCCAAGTTTAGGTTGTCCCCATTGGGTTATGGGGCGGTTGGGTTGTCCCCAAGGTACCACAGGGCCCTTGGGTTGTCCCCAACACGCCATGGGACAGTTGGGTTGGATGGTCCGTGCTCCTGAAAGTGGCCTGTGACCATGACCATGGTGGTGGCCCACGTGACCATGGTGGTGACCCCTGACCATGCAATGACCCCAGACCATAATGATGGACCAAGTGACCATGGTGGTGACCCCGGACCATGACCATGGTGGTGACCCCTTGACCATGACAATGACCCATGACCATGGTGGTGACCCCAGACCATGGTGGTGACCCCCGACCATGACAATGACCCCAGACCGTGTCAGTGACCCCAGACCATGACAATGACCCCAGACCATGGTGGTGACCCCTGACCATGACCATGGGTGGTGACCCCACTCTGACCATGACCATGATGATGACCCCAGACCGTGTCAGTGACCCCAGACCGTGTCAGTGACCTCAGACCATAGTGGTGACCCCAGACCATGGTGGTGACCCCTTGACCATGATCATGGTGGTGACCCCTTGACCGTGATGATGACCCCAGACCATGATGGTGACCCCAGACCATGATGATGACCCCAGACCATGACGATGACCCCAGACCATGGTGGTGGCCCCTTGACCATGATGGTGACCCCAGACCATGATGGTGACCCCTGACCATGACCATGGTGGTGACCTCAGACTATGATAGTGACCCCAGAACATGATGGTGACCACAGACCATGATGGTGACCCCTTGACCATGACGATGACCCCAGACCATGACCATGGTGGTGGCCCCTTGACCATGATGGTGACCCCTGACCATGACCATGATGATGACCCCAGACGGTTTCAGTGACCCCAGCCCATGACCATGGTGGTGGCCCCTTGACCATGATGGTGACCCCTGACCATGACCATGGTGGTGACCCCTTGACCATGACGATGACCCATTACCATGTCAGTGACCCCTAACCATGACAATGACCCCAGACCATGGTGGTGACCCCAGACCATGATGGTGACCCCAGACCATGGTGGTGACCCCAGACCATGATGGTGACCCCACCACATCGTTGTCCCCAGCTTTGGTGAGAAGGAGCCCTACATGACCTGGTTTCAGTGACCCCAGACCATGACCATGGTGGTGACCCCAGACCATGGTGGTGACCCCAGACCATGATGGTGACCCCACCACATCGTTGTCCCCAGCTTTGGTGAGAAGGAGCCCTACATGACCTTCATGAACGCCTTCCTGGAGCAGAACTGGGCCACCATGACCGAGTTCCTGCAGGCCGTGGCCACCCCAGAGGCCAGCGCCCACATGGCCACCTACGAGGGCTACGTGGACCTGGCCCTGGAGCTCGCCACGCTCCACCTGCTGGTGACCCCAGACCATGACCATGATGATGACCCCAGACCGTGTCAGTGACCCTAGACCATGATGGTGACCCCTGACCATGGTGGTGACCCCTGACCATGACCATGATGATGACCCCAGACGGTTTCAGTGACCCCAGACCATGACCATGGTGGTGACCCCAGACCATGGTGGTGACCCCACCACCACATCGTTGTCCCCAGCTTTGGCGAGAAGGAGCCCTACATGACCTTCATGAACGCCTTCCTGGAGCAGAACTGGGCCACCATGACCGAGTTCCTGCAGGCCGTGGCCACCCCAGAGGCCAGCGCCCACATGGCCACCTACGAGGGCTACGTGGACCTGGCCCTGGAGCTCGCCACGCTCCACCTGCTGCTCTGTGACATCTTCTCCAGCCTTGACCAGGTGCCACCACCCCTCCGTCCCCAGTGGGGACCTCCGTGTCCACCGGGCCACCCGTGACGTCCCCGTGGTGTCCTCGCAGGCCACGCAGGAGGAGCTGGAGCCGCTGCCCACCATCCTCAGGGCCATCAGGGAGGGGACACCTGTCCCCGTGTCCGTCCGCCTCAGCTCCACCGCCAGGGGAAGGTACTGAGGGACACCTGGGGGCACTGGGGACATCTGGGGACACTTGGGTGTCGGGATTTGGGGTCCCTCTGCTCCTGTCTGGGGTTGGGAGATGGGTCTGATCCCCAATTTGGGGTCTCGGTGATCTCACCAGGGTTTGGTGTCCCTCTGGTCCCACAAGGATTGGGGATCCCCTCGATCCCACCAGGATTTGGGGTCCTTCTGATCTCACCAGGGTTTGGAGTCCCTCTGATCCTACCAGGATTTGGGGTCCCTCTGATCTCACCAGGATTTGGGGTCCCTCTGGTCCCACCAGGGTTTGGGGTCCCTCTGAAGTTTGGGGTCTCTGTGATCTCACCAGGGTTTGGGGTCCCTCTGATCCCATTTGGGATCAGGAGATGGATCCCATCCCACCAGGATTTGGGGTCCCCTCTGATCCTACCAGGGTTTGGGGTCCCTCTGGTCCCACCAGGGTTTGGGGTCCCTCTGATCCCACCAGGATTTGGGGTCCCCCTCATCCTGGTCACATTGAGGGTGTCCCATCTCTGTCCTCTGTCTCTCCCCACCCCACACCCTCTTGTCCCCTTATCCCCTTATCCCCTTGTCCCTCTCTCTCTCTCCCTGTCCCCATCCCCTTGTCCCTTGTCCCTTATCCCCCTGTCCCCTTGTCCCCTTGTCCCTTATCCCCCTGTCCTCTTGTCCCCTTATCCCCCTGTCCCCTTATCCCCCTGTCCCCTTATCCCCTTGTCCCTTGTCCCCTTGTCCCCTGTCCCCTTATCCCCCTGTCCCCTTATCCCCTTGTCCCCATCCCCTTGTCCCTTGTCCCCTTGTCCCCTGTCCCCTTATCCCCCCGTCCCCATCCCCCTGTCCCCTGTCCNGCTGGTGGTGCGAGGGGTGTGGTGGCACTAGCGGGGGGGTGGTGGCATTAACCAGGGTGTGGTGGCACTAACCAGGGTTTGGTGGCACTAACGGGTCTGGTGGCATTAACGGGGGTGTGGTGGCACTGTCCAGGGTGTGGTGGCATTATCCAGGGTCTGGTGGCATTAGCTGGGTTCAGGTGGTACTAACGGGGGTCTGGTGGCATTAACGGGGGTGTGGTGGCACTAGCAGGGGTTTGGTGGCACTGTCTAGGGTGTGGTGGCATTAACGGGGGTGTGGTGGCACTAACAGGGGTGTGGTGGCATTAACAGGTCTGGTGGCATTAACCAGGGTGTGGTGGCACTAACCGGGGTGTGGTGGCACTGTCCAGGGTCTGGTGGCACTAGCAGGGGGCTGGTGGCATTAACGGGGGTTTGGTGGCACTGTCCAGGGTTTGGTGGCACTAACTGGGTGTCCGGTGGCATTAACGGGTGTCCTGGTGGCAGTAACGGGGGCGTGGTGGCACTAGCGGGGTTTGGTGGCACTGTCCAGGGTGTGGTGGCATTAACGGGGGTGTGGTGGCACTAACGGGTGTCCGGTGGCATTAACGGGGGCGTGGTGGCACTAACCGGGGTTTGGTGGCACTGTCCAGGGTCTGGTGGCACTAGCAGGGGGCTGGTGGCAGTAATGGGGGCGTGGTGGCACTAAATGGGGTGTGGTGGCACTAGCTGGCTTTTGGTGGCATTAATGGGGGTTTGGTGGCATTAACGGGTGTCCGGTGGCATTAACGGGGGCGTGGTGGCACTAACCGGGGCGTGGTGGCACTAACTGGGTGTCCCGGTGGCATTAACGGGTGTCCGGTGGCATTAACGGGTGTCCCAGTGGCAGTAACGGGGGTCTGGTGGCACTAACGGGGGCGTGGTGGCACTAGCTGGCTTTTGGTGGCATTAACGGGTGTCCCGGTGGCAGTAACCGGTGCCCCCGTGACAATGACAGTGTCACAATGCCATTAACGGGACATTAACGGGTGGCCCGGTGCCATTAACGGGACATTACCGGGTAATCGATGACATTAACGAGACTTTAATGGGTGGCCCGGTGCCATTAACGAGCGCCCGGTGACATTAACGGGACATTAACGTGTGGGCCGGTGTTATTACCGGGTACCCGATGCCGTTACCGATTGTCCTAGTGCCATTACCGGGACATTACCGAGTGTCCGGTGCCATTACCGGGAGGTTAACGGATGTCCCAGTGACATTACCGGGTGTGGCGCTGCCATTACCGGGACATTACCGGGTGTCCCAGTGACATTACCGGGACATTACCGAGTGTCCGGTGCCATTACCGGGACATTACCGGCTGTCCGGTGCCGTTACCGGGACATTACCGAGTGTCCCAGTGACATTACCGGGACATTACCGGGTGTCCGGTGCCATTACCGGGACATTACCGGGTGTCCGGTGCCGTTACCGGGACATTAACGCTGTCGCTGTCGCAGCCCCGGGGGAAGCTGCGCTCGTCGGCGTCGCTGCCGCGCAAATCCGCGGTGCCGTGGCAGCGCCTGGCCGAGGACGCGGCGGCCCCGGGAGAGCTCTACGCGCTGCGGCCGCTCGAGAAGGTAACCCCGGGGCTGGGGACAGTCCCCGGTGTCCCCCGGTGTCCTCCCGGTGTCCCCCCGGTGTCCCCCGGTGTCCCCATGGTGTCCCTGTCCCGCTGTCCCCAGCACGGGCGGCTGCTGGAGGAGGTGACGGGGGTGGGTGACACCTCCCGGTAACCTCGTCCCCGGTGTCCCCAGCCCCCGATCCCCTCTCGGTGACCCCGTTGTCCCCCGGTGTCCTCCCGGTGTCCCCCCGGTGTCCCCCGGTGTCCCCATGGTGTCCCTGTCCCGCTGTCCCCAGCACGGGCGGCTGCTGGAGGAGGTGACGGGGGTGGGTGACACCTCCCGGTAACCTCGTCCCCGGTGTCCCCAGCCCCCGATCCCCTCTCGGTGACCCCGTTCCGGTGTCCCCAAGCCCCGGTAACCCTGTCCCGGTGTCCCCAAGCCCCGGTGACC